AGGCAGACAACAAAGAACCGTCAACAGTTGACAAGTGGCTAGCAAGCAGTGGCCAAAAGGGGTGGGGGCGGGGAAAGCGCAGAGAAGAGCTACAAAAACTGTAGCACGCCTTCGAGAGCAGCGGAAAGTGGGCAGCGAGCGGTAGAGATGAGTGGGGGCTATAAATAGTTGCCGGCGCCTTGGGACCAAGAACTATGCCAAAGGCTCCGAGAGAGCAAGGGGAGGGGAGCGAAGAGGTCAGCGTTTAGGCTCAACAGTTGGTCGAGATAGAAAGTGGCAGGAACTACAAGCAAATATAAACGATGAGCTCTAATGCTTTGCCTTTGAGATATGCTTTGAAAATGGGGAAAAATTGCATTTTTAAATTCTTTTCCTACTTTCTTTATTTGTTCGAAAGCTTAACTAAAGTCATTTTAAATACCTTTTGTCAATAAATGACTTTCTGGAAAAGTATCTAAGAACATGTACCAGGCCATACAGCCCTAGCTCCTTTTTAATAAAATTGTTTTCGTAATATGTATTGTAAGTTCATCGCTTAGACCACCTTCCTAAAGTTAAGGTATTTATTTTTCTAAGTGTAATTTTTTTTTGATTGCTTAAAAAGTACTGTTAAGAAAGGCTATGTGTCTTAATGAATAATTCAACCTGTATACCATTTAATAAGATCTCCTGCGAATCGCGGAACCGAATGATTGTAAACAACCATCATAGCTTTATCAATTTCCGAGGAGTCAGTAGAGTTAACAAAGTTTGTAGTGTCGGAAAAGCTTATATCTCCCGGTAACACAGTTTTGCACTAATGGAATATACACCCCAGTTCAAAGAGCCACGTAGCTAAGCCACAGCGACAAGGTAATTTGGCTCACAGCCGCGGAGCGGTTACAACAAATAGCCAAAAGGCCGGTGCATTGTTGTGGCAAAATCAACACATGCGTATGTGGAATATGGCCGACATTGCCTATGCAGAATATTAACGCTTTTGTTTTCTTACGTTGCTCGTGGCTACTATGGTTAGATTGCAAACAAGGCCTATAGAAATTGCGAAAAATTCACCTTGTTTTTTTAGCGCAATTTCTATGATGCATTTTCTACAAACGTTAAAAAATTGAATTTAATTGAAAAATAAAAGAGCGTTTTTTATGGTCTCAGATCGTTGTTAAATATGCAAATTAATTTTTAACGTTTATCACAATTTCTGTAAACAAAATGTTAAAGGTGCTAATGAAAATGAATAGAGATTGAAGTTTGGATAACTCGTACACAGGCTGCAAAATCTAAAAGATATTCACTAAAGCCTGAAAACTTTCCGAAACTTAAAAAGAAATCGGACTTTTTGGAATTTTAATTTACAGCAAGGTCAAAGGAAACGCATAAGAGCACTACAACATCAAAGCATGAAACGCAGAGAAAGGGCAGATTAAAAAAGTAATAGTAATAAAAGAAAGCAGATAAGCGACAAAGCCGAGCCAGTGAAATGACAAGGTAGTCAAAGCAAAAACGGCGCAAAGTACCTGAAAAACAGATGAGCAACAGAGCACAGCCAAAATCGCAATAACCCAGAGCATTACAAATGACTTCAAAGGCCAAAGGTTAGGTGCTACATATACAACCACAGCAGGGGAACGGTTGAGAACATAAAGAAATGAGAGAAACTATTCCAAAGTCATTTGGCAAGCATTGAAGGACGCTGGAGAGGTTGGAGGTCGGAGGTCGGAAAGGGCAGGGCAGGGGGTAATGGTAATGTCAATGGGCAGGGAAGTTGCTCAGATGAAAGCACTACGAAGTGTTTATTGCAAAACAAAGCAACAACAGCTTCAGAAAATAATACAAAATAAAAGCAAAACATTTACCTAGCACGATACCCCAAGAGGGAATGTGTTAAATGGAATGGAAATAGAAATACATATATAAAATCTTTTAAGATAGCAAAAAATGTTTCCTTACTAAAAATTTTGAATTTCAATTGAAAAACCACCAATCATAATTTTTAAAGTACTGTAAAGTTATCAAAAATAAACTACGGGCTTTCTTCATATCTAAAATTAAAGATTAAATAGCTTCAGGAGTTTTTCCGGTTTCAAAACTTAATTTCTCCCTTTTGTTTTTTGTTCCCAAACACTCTTTCCATGCCACTATTGTTGCAGTTTGTTTGCACCATCCCCTTAAGGGACTTGGCCTGCGCCATCATCTCGTCTTCAACGTTGGTCACCCGTTGGCCTCGTTAAGTTTTTGACAGGCCAACTAATTTCAGGGCAAAAAGGACGAAAAGTGGCCCGGGGACAGTGAAGGGCAAACGCGAAGTGACACTTTTTCCCCCCTTCCGATTCGACTTCAACTGGAGGCCAATCAATCTTGGCTCCGGAGTGCTGGCAGGCAGTTCAAGTGCCGGCCAAGCCCGGTTCACTTCATCTTCATTCGTTTGGGCAATAAGTCCTCTTCCCTCGGTCCTTTCGTCCTTTTAAGCTACGAGTGTATTCCCTCCTTCGTCTTTTTTTGGCGTCCTAACGACAATTGCAAATATGTTGCAATTTCCCGGTCAGGAGCCAATGGTTGAAGGTTGCTATTCCTGTTGCTGGTTTGCCTTTCGCATCCTTTCCATCTTCCATTTTCCACTTCTACATTTCCCTTTTCTCCTCCTCATTCCCGACAGGACATGGCAGGCTGAGCAGAGCCTGGGGACCTCCAAAATGTGTTGCAACTGCCTTCTCCTCTGTCTCATTCCCGATTTGGGACTCCACTAGCTTCTTCTGCCATGAAGATTGATCACAGTTGCTGCTACTTTTTGTAGCCCCGCCTGCAATTTTTATTTCCGCCACCGCTTACCACGCCCCCTCCCCCGCCCCCCATTGCCTGTCGTTTAATATGAAAAATTGCGCGCAAATATTTGCAAGCCTGGCGCAGCAGGGTAAAAAGGGGAAAAGGAGCCTCGTCTGGCTATCCTAATTGTGTGAATTTGTCAGTTTTGTTGCCAGGGTCAGATATTAATCGTTTGCCAAGCAAACTATTCTTTTTCCCGGGAGTTTCCATTTGTGGGGAATGAAGCTGTGAAAAGGACGAGAAACGAACAGAAAAAATTATCTGTTGGAAATGCAAATTAAATTAAAGTATTTAAATAAATTGTAGTTTAATGACAGTTTTTGTCCACTTTAGTTACCATAAATTGGCATAAGGTTGTATTACGAAAAGTTTTATTTACAATTTTAATTCTTTTGATCATTCTTAAACCGTTTCCGCAACTTGAGGTGCTCATTTTGGACTCGCTTGGTGGCTAGAAGCTCAAAATACATCATAGGGATCAAGTCCTAAGAGAAAAGCTAAATAAAATACCAAGTGAAGATAAGCCGGAGTTGCTTACCGTTTCTCGAATGCACTTAACAGGGCCACGAAAGCTCACTGCCAGTTGTTAACCTGACTTCATTTGCCGCAACTTTAAATACTCTTCGCGATTCTCTTTTCGTTCCAAAAAAAAAAAAGATTTAAAAAAAACACCAAAGAAGACACTGAAACATAAATAGAAAGCGAAAACCGAAGCCATTTCATTAGAAGCGAGAGGAAGCGCGGGAACCCTAGGAGTCTAACATTAATTCCTTCATTTTGTGCTCAACAACAGTGAAAGTTGGCAAAGCAGACAAGGCCAAATGGAAAAAGAGGTGGAAGTAGGAATAAGTTGAAAGTGGCAAGAGGCAAAAAGAATCTTTAGCGTAAGTTTTCGCATTTTCTTCCTCTCGAATTTAACGCTTTGCTTAAGCCTCGAGAGAGTCGTGGCGGGCAGGGGGCGTGTCATGGCCTAACGCTCGACTGCAATTTGCCAAGCGCGCAAGGATAGCGAATCGAAAAATTGGGCTTAGACCAGAAGGAATGATAGAAATTTTCGAGCGCGACAAGTTTGCAGTGGCTATAAAGGAAGATTTACACGTACAGCGGGAAAAAATGAATAAAATCCACAATTTTGGAATTAAAATGCACATATGACCCATGTTTTTTTGTTACAATAAAGACGAATGTATAAACCATTAAATGATATACTCTTGGAAAAAATGGTTTTAACTCATATATTATGCTTGCTTTAATAAATCATGAACATTTTGGAAAAGCCATTATATTCAAATAGATTATTAACCTAGTGCATAAATTGACTGGGCTTTAAATCTTTTGAGGCTCATCAAAATTCAACCCACTTTCCAATATCGTAAATTATTTCAGAAAGCAAAATTTAAATACCTTTTCAATGGACAAAAAGTTAACAATGAAATAACCTTGCAACATGACTAAAATCTTAAAATAGGATTACATTTCTTTTTGTGTGTGCACATCTATGTAGCATATTGTTGAGCGGTTTATCCGTCTCTGCCTTTAAAAATGAAAATTGAAAATTGCTTGAATCGCAATTCACTCTCGTGTTGATGAAAATCCTTTGGGGAGTTGGGAAAGGGGGAAAATGCAGGGTAGATTCCCTGCCCCTTTTGAACTATAAAGATGGTTAGGCAAACATCTGCTGCAGCTCGTTGTGCTGCTCCGTCTTTTTCTGCTAGTGCCGAAGGCAACGCGGCGTATGAGCATCTTCGAGATCTCTTGAGTTTCACACAGCTTGGAGACTGACAAAAGTTGGAGTGACGTGTTTTTTATGAAACCCCCTCGGATGCCTCCCTTGCCCTTCCAGTATTTCCGTTTCTTCAGCCTTGCCCTATCCCCTTTTAGTTAAAATCCCATTTAATTAAACCATTAAGTCTGGCATGGCCTTTAGTGAGAGTTTTCCACATTTGTTTTTGGTTCCCTTGGTTCCCCTGGCTCTCGAAGATAGAGAGGCAAGGCATAGCCACGCGGAGATTGCCTTTGGTGCAATGAGCAAACGCTCCACGCTTTCCGAAAAGTTGTGTAATTGAAATTGCGGATGTGGTTAGGGTAAGCACTGCAAATGACTTTCTGTTTGCAGTTTTCGCTTTTTGTTGCGCTCTCTGTTTTAAACTTGTTTACGTACTCGCGCTGCATTTCAAACGTACCTCAAATGATTTATTTATTCCCTGCTTTGCTGATTTGTTTGAAATTCACTTAGGCGTCAAAGTTCTGCAATGGGAATAAGAGAACAAGTTATTAGTGGGTCATGATGAGCAATTCGAGAAATAATTAATAATATTTGACCATATTGTGGTAAAGTTTACTCTTTAATACTTTTTGCAGTTTTACTAAAGTTTCTTTCCAAATGTTAAGCTAATTTAAATTATAATCTCAATAGGGGTAAAAAATAAGCAATAAAAACTGTCAAGATAATGTAATTGGTAAAAAAACACGTGTATGTTGACTATGGCATATTCCATTTAATTATGTTAAGTTAATATTTTTTATGGTTACAGTCTATTATATTGATAATAAAGTATAAAGATAAACTTTCCATTATTTTATTTTTTTAAGTCCATATTCTATTAAAATCATTTTAAGATTCAGCAACTGCTCATGAAACATGTTTCATGGGCGCTGAGCTTGCTTTGACCAAAGTCTGTTTTCATTTAATAAATATTTCGGTTTCCTGGTTCCAATTTGCCTGACATTCGTCAGGCACTTGTCAAGCCACTTAATTATATCCTCGATAGATGGTCCACTGGCTTTGTCATATTCTGATGACTCAACCTCGAGTGATACCAACCCATTTATTGCATAAATCTTTATGCAGTCCCTTCAACTGCAGCAGTGTCAAGCTTGGGTTGGTCCAAAGCAAGGTGACTATGTACAAACGGGGGCCTCGAGCAGCTCCCATAGTCTGTGGGCCACATGACGTATGCGCAATATACCATCAACTCACCAGAGGACTAAAGCCACTTTCATCAACAGTTCCCAGATCTGAAGCTCAATTTCTGTTTGGCAGCAAACAAAATAAAACTTCAAATCTGCAACCAGACACCACCACTGCCACCACAGCCTCCTTCCTGTCTGGATTTAATTACGGCTTTACAAAGGCAGCCAGACAGATGGACAATTAGTGCCGACCATGAATTATGAGCTCTCGGCTTTTATTTTATTTTTTTTACCCTTATTCGGGTTAAGTAAATCATGGTCAGCAGAAGTCGGACTCGGGGCTCATAAAATCACTTTAAACAAAAGCTGGTGAGCGGGCGGGAGGAGAGCACTATGCCGGGCCAACAAATGTGTAGTTAACTATTATGGCTGCCAAAAGTCGGAGCGTATGCTGAGTAGAACTGAACTTTTGTGCTTCATTTCCGTTTCCGGTTGTGACTGCACATATGCAAAGCATACCCGACGAGGGGTGGGAATTTCGGCAGCATATGGATAATGGCAAAACGTGCCGAAAGCCAAAAAGTTTATGAGCAGCAAAGACAATGTCAGGAGCGGGGGCGGCTGGTTAGGGAGAAGGCGTGGCCCCAAGAGCAGCTCGTTTGTTTTGACTTTCAATTGGACTGCTTTTCTCCAGGCCCGAGACTCCTTCGCCTACTGTTGCTGCTGCTCCTTTTTAGTATGCCATATTTTCTTCCGCCTTGGTAGAACTTTTAGCAATTTGTTTGGCGCTGCTTGGATCGCTTGTGAAAGCTTTATTTATGCAAATATAAATGCAAATACAGTGTAGTTGAGGAGAAGAGTTCAGACATTGCAGGCAAATACAATGAGCTTTTTTAATGCTTAATTGTATAAGTTTATCTTAAAACATCAATATATTTAAGCGGTTGAAGGAAATTGAAGTTGGTTTTGTCATGCCTAAAAACTTAAAACCGGACCAAAAAATGTAAAATTGATTGTCATCAGATGGTAATCTTAATAAACTCTCGTATATTCTCTGTAAACCAGAATCATTATGTATCTCGTTTACATAAATATTTGCTCAAACCAAGAGTAATAATGTTCCTAAAAAAATGAAGCAAAGAAGGAGAAACAACAAGAGGGAAGGAAAAAGGTTTTGCGACAACCCAGACAAAAATCGCACAGTTTAGTCTGTTTAGATGTTTCTATAGCATAGAATTGAAGACTTTTCCCTCAGCCGTTTCTTGTCCTGTCCATTCTTCTATTTGTCCATCTTGTTAACCTTTCTCTTTACCCTTTCCTCCGTCTCCATTGTGATGCTATATAAAAAAACTTAACTAAGCTCAACCCTGTCGACTTGTCGGCCCAATCTTCTATAAATAAGTCTGACAAAACTAGACAAAAATCTAGAATGGTTCTGGCCTTAAAATTGTGGGTCAATTGTCGTTGTAGTTTCTGTTGTTCGTATTTCACATTGCTTTATCTGCTGCTCATTCTGCATTTTTCGATATATTTATACACACTTCCATGGTATTGTATGTGACAGGCAAAGCAACTATGAAATGGGAAAAGTTTTGCATTTGGCAAAGTGAAGTGAATGACAAAGTGAAAATTTGTTCTACATATATATGATCAATATTTGTGGGCAAATTAAATTTTCAGCTTTCGTTAGATGTTTTTAAGACAACATTTTTTAAAGTTATATAGTTTTTGAGCAAAAGCAGGATTTTGTAAAGTATAAATGGGACTTTTTAATAAATAAGTTGAGTGAGAACTATGGAAAAACAAAGTTCTTCTTTAAAAACAGAACAGGAGAAAAAGCTAATTACCCTGAAGCTTCTCATTTCGAATAACAAGGGGAATATAATTGAAATGAAATCCAAAGCTAAAGAACATTTTTCTGTTTTGAACACATCTCAGCTGTGTGTCGTAAGGCTCCCTCCATGGAATAAAAAGCTGATTGGAGGAACAAAACTCATTTTCCCGACTTCTAATTCCATACAAAAATACCCAGTGGCCGGGTGTCAAAATCAGGCCGAATTGGATTCCTCGCCACCCCATTTCTCCCTTCTGGCCCGAAACAGGAGAAAGGCGCCGACAACAATGAATGGATATTTCTGCAGCTGACATGTGTAGAACAGAAAGAGGGAATAGGGAAGTCAGCACGAGAGACAGGGACAGCGACAGACACAGGCACACTGACAACGTGTTCCATCAACCGCACAACAAAAGACAACAACAACATCAGCAACAGAGGCCTCAACAATAACCCCTTGAAGATGGAGATGAAGAAGGATTTATTGTCGGTGGACCGAGGGCATCGTAATGCACATGTTCGAGGGGGTTGAGCGGGGCCCAAGGCCTCGAGGGGGTGGTCGATGTCAGAAGTCTTGGCTATCAAAAGATTAAATCAAATTGGAGACCCCAAGGCAACAAGAATGTTGCCTACATTTGAGCGTCAGTGCAAGAGTTTTGAAATGGAAATGCCAAATTCGAGGAAAAATTTTTAAAATGCTTTTAGGACATAAGAAAAGAGATTAAAGTTATTTATGAAAATATTAATGTGTATTAAAAAACTACTCAAAATATGTTTTCAAGAACATTTTATTAAGTTATTTCAGTTGCATAAATAATGACTTTGAAATAATAAGTCTTTAACTTCTTAAAACTCGTACTCAGATTTATACACATCTTAAATGTGGGAGCATTTTCTAATCATGTGCTGTGTGAATATGTGCCTTTCACCCACACAGATACTCAGACATCTAATTCCGTCCAATTCAAATTTGCCAACTCATCAGCCAAATCTCTCTGCTTATCTGCCTTCCTGTTGCTGCTCCTTTTACCCCAGCCCTGGCGGATTACTCCGCTTGAGGGCTGTCATTCAATTAGGTCATCATCGCCATGCATCTTGGCGGCGTTTTACACGCAAGTAACTCCCTGCCACCCAAAATACCCCGTTTAAACCCATGGCCACTTGTCGAACATGATAAATTTGTGGGAAAATGCCAGTTGGTTCGGTGCAAAAAAATAACTTCCCCTTTTTTGGGGGTATATTTCGTAGCTTTAGATGTTATTGCAATTTTAACACCACCTCCTCGTCCCGCGAGCTGGGTTAATTTTGCGCCAGCTGTCAAATGTCAAAATGTCAAGTGAAACAAAATTTTCGCATCGTGAGAAATGCATGTCAGAGTCACACAAAGTCTCCATGGAGCGCGGGCGGGACAAGAGGGTGTGTGTGTGGGTGTGGGGCGACAGTGTGCTACAACCCACCTAGACTGCATAGTTTTGTTGTCACCCCCGGAACCGCCAATGGAGTGGTTGCCTGGTTGGAATCGTTATCGAGTTACCCAACCAGAGCTCGCTTCATCATCATCAAACGGAGCGTGGTAGGGTGCTGGGGGGTCGTGGAGGGTTAAGGGGACTGGGAAGGGTTAAAAGGGGGCTAAGCGAAGGGCTTGGGGGGAGAGATCGGATGGCAGGCGGTTGAGCAGCATCAAAATCATGATAATGCCCATTATTAGCAGTGGCAAAGCATTTGCATGCATTTTAGAATTTGTATATTCCGCCAACGGTGCTGCATTTCTCCACTGCTTATTACACCAAGCTACAGGAAAATTGCAATTAGTCAACAAACATTTTTATTTCTTTAAAATAAGAATTTGGTGCTAAAAATAAAATGTTGATTAGATAATAGTGTAGGAATCAATTTTTCCTTGTTTACCAATCAATTTCAATGACAAACGTTATTGAGCTTTGACACTTATTACTTGAATAAATACGTTAGAAAACAATCTTTACTACCATAAGTCAGATTAACATCTGACTTCAAAATTATAATCTCGTTTTTGTTAGTAAGTGTCATGGCTGGAAAGGCGAAAAGTTGCGTGTCGCTGGTGCGCTGCGCATCTGCGGTGGCACAGAGTGAGCCACAGACAGTGGCCCACGAAAACAGATACCACTCTGCCATGTCCTGCTCTTCTCTCTCCGCTCGGATCCTCGAAATGGAACCGATTTATGCGCACATTATAAGCAATTACACGGCCAAGCCAGCTGGGAACTGGCAACTGGCATCAGTTCCATTGCCACTTCTGCTCACATTCAGAGCCACAGCCACATCCCCATCAACTCCCATATCCATTTCGATAACTATTTTGTGCGCTAATTGAATCAGCGACTCTTGACGTGAGTATCCCCCTCCCCGGGAGTAAGAAGATGATTTGATTTGCCGCTCAAGTGTTTCAAAAAAGAAGCCAGTGTCTCGCTCTGGATATGCATATGCATGAGCATAAAATTGCAGCTCTACTAGACAAATT